TGCATTTGACTTGTTTTTCCAATACATCTTAAAGTGTTTTTTTTAAAGTGTCATCATTTACTTACCCTCATGTCATTCCAAACATGTATGTCTGTCTTTCCTCTGAGGAACACAAAGATGTTAGGAATAATATTCACACAGCATTTACCCTTACAATGAAAACACAGAAGGTGTATTAAGGCATTTTAAAAGTTCCACAAATTTAGTCTACATGACTCTATATATTAACTATTCTGAATCCAAATAATAGCTAAAAGATTGCGCATTATCAGTTTGATTCACACAAACTGCTGTTATAAACCTTTTTTTTTTGTCCTCAGGTCTCTTACAAAACACTGAGATGGAACAAGGATGTTCTCTATGCAGAAGCTTTTTTTTTGTTTTCAGTACTAAGCTTTAAAAACAAGCCTGTAGGTTAGACAGCGCTGTATATGTCCTGGTTGACTTGCGATCTGGCTGTGGTTTTGACAGCAGGTCACTCTGAGTTGCTTCAGGATGCTCTGTTGAGTCCTGGACATCTACTTCCCCTCTGGAAAATCCCAATTCATCATTATAGGAAGGTCTACTCCAAATAATACAGCGATTAATCACTTCTGTTTAGGCTCTGCATCACAGCAGTAATCAGTAGGCTATAAATATATTCAGAGAACAATTATACATCAGTATACAATTACATATCAGTATAGTCACAATATATTCTTTCCTTACACCATTCTATTGATATTTTTATTTATTTGAGTATTCGAACGTCCTACAGTTCATTAATGAAAAAGTGAAAGTGTAAAGTGAAAAATCTGAGATTGGTGTTTTTCCAGCAGAGACGAAGCTATTTCTATGAGGCCTAACCAGCTTCTATGACCAGCAGATCCATTCATGGTAATTATGATACTGTGAGGTGTACGTTTTAGTGATGTAGTTGTCAACATCCAAACCTATTAATTGCATTATTATTTTTACATTACACAGTAAACAAAATTAAACTACAAAAAAAAAGAAAGATACAATAAAAACAAAATGACCAATATGCCACCAATATGTAGGCTATGGTGACAAACGTCCCCAAAAATACAATTTAAATGTCCCCATTCATCACCATAACATTTTATGTACATTAAATAGTAAAATCAAATCAAATGGCACCTAAAAAGAAGTCACTTACGCTCAAGACTGCATTTGACCAAAAACAGTCAAATAGTAATAATGTGAAACATTACAATTGAAAATAACTCATTGTAATCATTCTTAGATGCAGATTTGCTGCTCAAGAAACATTTGTTATTATCAGTGTTGAAAACGGTTGAGCTGATTTTTTATTTTATTTATTGATCTTTGATTAACAAACTTCAGAAGTACAGCTATTATTTTAAACAAAAATCTGATGCAACTTCATAAGTGTCTTAACCGTCACTTTAGATCAATTTAATGTGTCCTTACTGAATAAAGTTATTATTTATTTATTTACTTTTTTACGGACTAAATAATAATAAAAAAAATCAGGTTCACATTTTTTTTCCTTGGCACAAATTCAAAACTATTATTTGTGAACAACGTCATCCATCCATTTTCCAAACCGCTTGCACTACGTAGGGTCATGAGGATGCTGGAACCCATCCCTGGACGGATGGCCAGTTCATCACAGGGAAAACACACAGAGACTACTCACTTGCATCTACCAATTTTAGTGTTGAATAATGTTTTATGTCTATGATATTTGCTATAACAGATAAAGGCTAGTCTTTGAAAGAGAAAGTGATAAGTTGTTCTTAATTTATTATAATAAGATGTTCTTAATTTATTATAATGTGTTTTACTGTAAGGCACACCAAATATTTGAGATACTTCTAGATTTGACTTAAGATTTAACTGTTTTTTTCTGTTTCGTGAGAATGAGACATACCTTTAATTTCGGATTCAAATATACTTTGCACTCTCTTTGAAAATGGCAGAGAAAGATAAAGATTAGACACATACTCTGAAAATTCAATTTAGGGCCAAATTGCCCAACACATTTATTTTATTACAACTTAAGGATATATATATATATATATATATATATATATATATAAATAAACACACACACACATATACACATACATACATGTGTATATATATATATATATATATACACACACACACACACACCATATATATCATATATGAAACAATAGTCATTTTGTCCTTCTAACTTCAAACAATCCTTATAATTATGCTGATTTGTAGTATAATGCACAGTATAAATGCACCTTTCTACAAGGGCAAATAACTGTTTCAGTCCATCAGGATGATGACTGCTCCAGGCTGTGGGATCCTGATGAGTGAGCAGAGTACCAGGTGTAGTGAACAACTATGCTGGGTAGTTTAATATGATGAGCACTGATGGTTAGTGCAATGGACAATGGGATGTTTCCAGGACTCTGCCCATGTTGCAGCTTTTCTCTGAGAGCACACAAGTATTCCTTAAATGGCCTGCACTGCCCCCCCCAAAAAAGGTCCTTGGTGTATTGGTCTCAAACTGCTGCCTTTTGAAAGAAGAGGCAGAATTCAGGATGGCAGTGTACCATAACATCAGCTGATTTTGAGGTCTGTCTGAATAGTTAATAGAGATGCACCAATCCAATTCCTGGATCATATCGGCATCGATACAAACATTTTTTTGTCAGATCAGATATGGATGACACAGGAATAGGGCTGTGACTCTTTGGGTAGACAGCGAATCGATTCGATTCACGATTCATAGGTTTTCGATTCACTTCAAGAACGATTTTTGCAAATTCAGAACGATTCAATTCGATTCGATTCACAATTAAATTCGATTTGATTAATGATTCGATTCTGCATTCTTTAAGTGCATTCACAGGATTATTTAAATGCTTCCCCTAAATTCTTTAAATGCTTAATTGTTAGATGCTAGTTTAATGATGCTATGGCATGCCATGGAATATGTAGAAATTTATGTAAGCCAAGATAAAAAAAAAAAAAAAGAGCTTTAAAAGTATCATGTATAGGCTAACATTTTGTCACACCAGGGGCGTAGCCATCATTTCAGAAGTGACAGAAATGTCAAATTCAATAATTATATGTATGTATTATTTTTTTTTTTTACAAGGAATTATTTTCTTATCTCTTACTTTGAATTTGCTATAAGAAATCAAATACAGTTGCTGTTTGAGCATAAACAATATCTGCAAAGTTACCAAGCAGAACGTTCAATGCAAATGGAGATATCGTATTTTAAAATTCTGGCGGTTTAATGCCTACAAAAATGGCTGGTATGGACTACAACAAGTTACTTCCCGGGTTCGTGACATCACAAACCCAGATAAACCCC